TTATATATACAGTATAATAGAGTCAAATCAAACAAGAAAAAACAGTGTATCAAGACATCGCTTTACAATACAATACAGTACATAAAAATGTGTTCTAACAAAACAACAATTCAAACAGATTGTCAAAGTGGATGAGCTATGACTTTGAATTCCAAAGTTGAATGAATATCTATTTTTGATAGAGAAGGTATGTCAGAAAAATAGGGAATCAGAATTGAAGAAGATATCAAGAAAGTCACGGTATAGCTGCAAATTTTTCTTAGCCACCTCAACCTTATTTTGGATTTTAGGTTATTCGAGCAACATATATAATAACGAAACCAGCGGCAAAAATAATACGTACGTACCCATCAATCAAACAATGTTTGGATCCAAATATTTTTTCAAGAAAGAAATCAAATCAAATGTCTCAGTCCAATAAATAGGAAATACTATATTAAAGTCTAAGCCTAAGAATAAGATAGCTATATTATGGGTAGGAACTAGCAAGGCACTGTTGAGCGGTGGGATACTCTCTCTCGGTTTGTGAGCATTCCATAGATGTATATTCAGAATTTAAATCTAACTTTTGAAATATTATACTAATGCAATTATTAGGTTTTTTGTATTATAACTATGAATATAGCGTAAAAATATATTTATAATTTACTCAACAATTTTCAATGTCTCAGCTTCATCAGATTAATTCTATTCGTGCAGATCTTTTAATATATATCGATAAGTAATTAATTTGTCTCTAAGGTTAAATTATTGTTTCTTAAATCTAGATCGATATTCTCAAATCTCACACTTCGCTAGCTGGACATTATATAAGCGTAACAACAGTAAAGAAGATTTAATTTATAAACTAGTTCACACAACATCTATATGTAAGGATAATAGTATACTTTTGTATGTTATGTTCTGCGTTAGTTCAGGGCCGCTTGATTCAATAGAGTGATTGACAGAAATGGTCTTAGCCCAATGTCTTCAAAATTGGTACTCTCTGTGTTCCGGTTTATATGAACCTATTTTTTTTTTAGTCCGTTCTAAAAAGAATGATCATTTTCTAAATTTGAAAATAATTTAGCTTAAACTTCTAATTCTACCCTTAATGAGAAGGTTTTATAACTACACAAATACTCGGAACCCCCTTTTTGACTTATTTAGGACCACAAATTTCTAAAAATTTTATTTTTTCTTAAACTCTGTGTCCAGTCAAACAGGTTCACATAAATTGAAACTGAGGGAGTATTATTTTAAAAAATAGCCTCCGATTACAATTTCCTGCAATCCTGGGGACGGAACACAAATTATGGGTCAACGACCAAGAATATGACAATTTCTTACCATCCTCATTTGATAATTCTTAAGTTGACTTGGACTTGGGGATTTGTTTCTTTGTTGCCTCTGGAAAATTATGATCTTCATTTCTGTGAAAAACAATAATGCACTAAATAATGCCATATTCTGCATGAAGTTTTTTAAAAAAAAATACCCCCTCTAGCCTGCCAAATATTAATAAAAAACCGCCAATATTTTTTAGACCAATGAAAACGATATGAAGAAATAAACAATTTTCATTTTTGTTGTATCTGAATAGTAAACCAAAAGATCTAATAGACCGGCCAGCTTGGCAGCAAATTGCTTCCCCACAAGTGTAATATTTGTGTCACATTCCTTTAATGTTTGCATAGCAGAGAAGATGAAGAACCAAACAAATAAAATCCTTCCTAGGGTTGAAAATTACTTCATTATTATCCTTGATTTAGCTTTTCGAGTTCTTCCCCAAGATTAACTAGAAAAACCTTTTAAATCGATTTATGTTTGAGACTTGAAAAAGAAATTTCTCAGATAATGGAATAGAATGGAAGGGAATCAAAAGTGCCTTCTATTTTAGTTAATAATTGAACAACAAAAACGCTTAATTGTTTTGATGAACTCTTGACAAAAAGAAGAAAACTTTTATATATATATGAGGAAGAATGATTTTCCTACTTTAAGGCGTGCATCATAACCAACAAAATGTGTTCCCAACGTACTTATCTATGAAAAATTATGTAAAATATTAACCATATTAATCTAGGGTTTGCTTAAAGTTTTAGCATCAAATTAAAGCTAGATAGGGCTTATTATCGCATTTGAAAATCACTAAATTTGAATTTGGATTAGCCCTTTTCCAAATATTTTAGTATCTTGATATGACACGCTAGGCCATAGTGCTAACTTTGAACTAACTGAATGTCTAAAAGAACTCCCTTTTTCTTCGTAGACCATTCTAAGCCTATATGAGACTATCACAACTTTTAACACATAGGATATAGCCTTTTCTTTTCATATATTTCAAGCTTCCATCACTTTCGAATTATATTAATTAATTAATATAATGTGTAAGTTGAGCATATATTATGATATATCTTAATTAGCATATCACTGTTATGATTCGCTGGTTGTCCCTAATCTCACTTCATTGAGCTGTTAACGTCATTCATTATTTGGCTAAAGCTTTGTGTAAATTAATTCCAACTCTTGAGTCTCTGCCAAAGGCATCTTTGGTACGAGCTATAATGGATAACTAATTTCGGATTAAATTTTAGATGATTTTATCTCACGTTTAATTGGAATAAATAAAGAAGGGTTGAAGGTTTTGGGCATGTAGCTTTCCCCGTCCCCCTTCGTCGGGCGGTGCTTGTATGGAGGGTGCGCCACTTGAAATCGAGCATAAATCGTGATATAACGAAGACTGTGATTAGTTATCCCGGGATTGTAATGTTATTTTTATCCCTGTAGAAGGGTGGATAATAATCCCAAAATAATTAATACTCTTGTTGGAATAACTTGTTTTCCAACCAAATTACCCCTAAAAGAATACATTAAACCAACAAGAAACGTATACCTGACTAGAAAAACTTATATATATCCTGATTATATATGAATGAAGGAGTACGTATATGTGCATTGTACAATGCATGTTTCGGCACTAAATAAACATTAGCCCGATATAAGTTTATTAAAAACTCATTTTGTATTTATTTAAATACATTGGATTCCCAAATTAGCTTGGGACCTCAATTTTTAATGAGCAAAAATGACTTGTTAATCTTCTCTCAATACTTTATCTTCATTTCCATATGTGGGCTGCCATTAATTATTCTAACATAGGTCATTAATTTGTATATATTCTTGAAATTTCCACAAGTATGATCATCATATTGGTTTTAATATCACAACTAAACGTTGGACCCTAGTCCCTAGTTGCTCAACCTCCAACCCGATGACAAAATGAAAATTTGAGGTGAAAAAGAAAAGAATTAAGTTAATATTTAGCCAAAGTATAAATAATGTTTATATTATCAGGGTAATTTATAATATTTTCTCTGTTTTAATTTATGTGAACCTATTTGACTGGTAATGGAGAGTTTAAGAAACAAAGAATGATTTTTAAAACTTGTGTTCTTAAACATGTCATAACGTTTATGTGAATGTAAGAATTTTGAAACTTGTGATTTTAAACATGTCATAACATTATTTGTGTGACTATAAAATCTTCTCATAAATAATAAAATGAGAAAATTAAGTTAAATTATTTTTAAATTTAAAAAGAATTTATTTTTTTAGATGGACTAAAAGGGAAATAGATTCATCTAATTTGAAAATATTTTTGTGAGTTTATGAACTTATGCTTATTTTAAAGGAAAGATTTACTTGTACTCAATAGGGTTATGTAATACAGTCAGACATTTCTATAATAATATCCCTATATAACAACACTTCACTATAAAAGTCAGATTTTTTCTGGAACCAATTTTCATGTTACGTTATAATATATGTTCTCTATAATAGCAGTTCGTTATAACATTAAAAAATATTTGAAACAAAGAGATTTTACAGTATTACTTCTTTTATCAAGTGCACACTGTCTCTCTTAAAATAATTAATTTCTAGGAAAATTAATCCACCCAACAAAAATCTGACCTTAGATTTTGTGTCATGAGCTTTTGAGACCAGCAATCCCTCTTTGATAAGTATCTCTTTCATCTTTTTCTTTCTTTCTCCAATCATCGTATTCATCAATCCCCATTTCCACCCCTCTTTATTGCCAGCCACTATAATAACTAAAGTTAGCTTTAGCAAATTTTGCCTCGACTTATCAAAATGGAAATCAAGCATTGTGACAACTCAAGCGTCTTCTATTTTAAATTTAAAATTCAAATTAGAGAAATATAAACTTTGACTAGTATTTAACATATATTTTGATCGTATAAACATAAAAAAAAATTATAATTTATTAGTAGTATTTTTTGTATAATTTTTAAATATTTTAATTTTAATTTTACAGTATTAAATTGATCTAATCCAATTTAGTTTCGAAAATGAGTTAGATTGACTGTCAAAAAGTAAAGCCCGNTATATATATATATATTCGCGCTCTCTCTTTTCTATCTCTTTCTTGATTAGTGAGAATTGAAGGATGAAAAACGAAGAAAATCTGTCTTCGCCCCTTTGCCTTGCTTTTACCTCATTATCTTAATTCGCGTGTGAAAACGATCATTCCGTTTTCTCTTTGACCTTTCCTTGATAATCAACCTTTATTTTATCATTCTCCTTAGCAAACAGTAAACAAATAAAATAAGCACTTAATTTACATAAATTGAAAGTATATAAAAATTGCATTATTATCAGTTTAGTTTAATCAATTATAGCATATTACTTACCATATTCAGCACCATTCAACTAGTGTTTATCATAAAATTTATATATAATTACTTTATAGTTTACCAAATTGTGTAACTATTTTTTGTGCACTAGTGCAAAGAATAATTAGGAAAATTAGAAAACAAGAAGACGTTACAACTTACAAATTATGATTTAAAAAAAAAAAAAGTAAAGTAGGTCACAAATACTCTTGCTATAAACACCAAAACCAATCACAACTAATATATCAATACAACTACGATTATCCAAATGTATTATAAGAATTACAAAAGCAAACTACAAAAGGTACGTAATTAATAGCTCGATTAATACCACGGTTTTGTTGTTTCATAGACAGGCAATTCCATTCCAATGGAAGAAAGATTATCAAGCTCAAATAGATCAGAACTAGCACAACTTACATCATCATCATCATATTCTTCCTCCTCGTTATCATTATCAAATCTCCGACCGTTATCACATGTTAAACTATACTGACAGTTTCGTCGCAAATCTCTAGCCGATGCCTCCTCCACTCGACGATTTTTCTCCAAATTTTTTTGTTTGTCCATGTACAAATTATTCTTGTGACAATCTTGATCATCTACAACTACATCACTCATTGGGTAGAATTTGACTGACGTTTTGGTTTTTGAAGATGGAGTAATATTATTATTATTATTATTATTATTATTATTATTATTATTATTATTATTATTATTATTGCTTAAACATGATCTAGAGAATGAAGAAGCTGAAGAACAAGTTGATACATTTGTAGACTTTAATTTTCTTTCCTCATTTTCATACCCTCTAGAATTTGACGAAATTTTTGATTTTTTTGAATTTGTAAAAAGTGAGTTCAAGAAACTCGATAGCCTACCTCCTGGAGAAATTGGCTGCTTAACTTTCTTTAAATTTCTGTAAATTTTCAAAGCTCTTGACTTTGTCTTCACAAATCCATCTTCTTGATGTTTAGTTTTTTCCTTTGCTAGAGAAAAATCTGTTGAAACATTAAATAGAGTATACATGTTACAATAGGAAGAAATGTTAAGAGAATGGAGAAAAAAATGAAAACTAACTCAGCTAGCGTTTGGACATAAATTTGGTTGAAACTTGAAAAAATGTATTTTTGAAGATGAGATGAAAAAAAAATTGAATTTGAAATTATATTTGGGCATGCATTTTACTTGAAAAGAATTTGAAAACAAACATATATTTGAAAACAAAAGTCGAAAAAAAAGTTCTCAAATTTTATGGCTAAATGGGAGTTTAATATTGCCATAAAAAAACAATAAAGTGAAAATGCCTATTTCTAAGTTTACAGCCTATTCTAATAATCATCAACTACTAGCATAATTTAAGCCTATTATCAGGGCTAACATAATAGTATACAAGTAATGGGTTCATCCAAACTCAATATTTTTGGTTTTATGTTTAAAAGGTTAATTAAAGAAGAACAAACAATATATTTCGTACCTAGTAAATCAAATGAGTTGCGGTAAAATTTCGAACTCGAACTCATAAACTCCAAATTCTGCTTACGACTCAGCCTATTATATCTTTAATTTGACTAACAAATTGTGAAAGATAGACTACTCTAGCAAACAAAAGAAATAGGAAAAACTTTGAGTTACTATTATTCAACTGAATAAAATGGCTTTCATTATATATAGACATATATACTTACCATAAAAGTTGAGGTGTTTAGGACAATATTGGTGTTTGTGGAAATTTTCTTGGTCAGCTGAAATGCTAGTTCTAATTGGTTTAGGCCTATTATTAAGACCATTAAAACAAGCTGAAGAACCACAATTTGAGGAACCTGAATTCTTCTCAGAATCAGCTGCAGATTTTCGTCTAACAACAACTTTTTCACTTGCCTTATAATGCTTTTGATGATCATGTGTTTGGTCAATGGAGTGGTAAATAGAGTCAAGAATTGTGGAAGAGAAAGAAGGGCTACAAGAATCTCGTGGGTAGTAGTTATATTTATCCATTTTAGGGGTATATAATTATAGTATTGCTAAACTGAAAGAAGTAAGCAAAAGAGAGGAGAGTGAGTCTTTGTCGACAGTAGTAAGATGAAGAAAATAACAAGGGGGGAGAAAGTGGGAGATAAAATGATAATTTAATCTCTTTATTGTCTGCTTTAAAAGAGCCAAAAGCTTCAAGAGAGAGTATAATGGGGAGTTGGGACATGCAGAGCCCGATCTAGAATTTGAAGATTATAGGTTTTGATCTTATTGTTGAAACCTGGTTCGTTGTAGTTATTGGTCTTGTAATTAAATATTTTTATATATTTAATAGATTTTCTAATACAAATACAAGATTTAAGCAAAAATTATTGGGTTCGTCCGAATCCCTAACTACTACACTACTATCTCCGCCCCTGGGGATATGAGCTTAATTAATTAGCTAACATTTAATTGAATTTCTTTTAGATAACAGTGATGTCCGGATCACCTTACGCACGTCTCAATTAATTTTACGGAATACTCGTTACCTCCGGCTATCAGCACCATTTTCAAGAAAGGGCTAGAGAGTGAGAAAGAGCATATGCTGATTGGTGAAGGAAAAATTGGAAGGGAAGGATTAATAATGTAGACAAGAGTAATCAATATGGGGTTTGGTTTGATGATGATTTTAATAAGAGAAGATAGAGGAGAGAGCATATAGCATAATGAGAGCCTGGATTTGGATGACACGCCTAAGAAAGGGAGAGAAGAAAAGAAGTGTGAGCTTATTCTCCTTTTTCTCTATTAGTCTAGTTTTAAATAAATGAATTTTCAGAAATCACTATTGTTGTGTGGCTATTAACTTCTTATAGCTACCATATACATAATTACTTTATATAGCTACAATTCTATTGTTACGGTAGTGTATTCACGGTGTCGTATTCATGAATACAGCAGTAAAAAGCGCCTAAAATCAGGGCAGTCCAGTTGTACGCGCATGTATTCACATGTATTTACGCCATGTATTCATGAATACAACAGTAAAAAGCGCCTAAAATCAGGGTAGTCCAGTTGTACGCGCATGTATTCGCGCTGCTATATTCATGAATACAGCAGTAAAAAACGCCTAAAATCAGGGCAGTCTATCTGTACGCGCATGTATTCACATGTATTCGCGCCATGTATTCATGAATACAGCAGCAAAAGCACCTAAAATCAGGGTTGTCCAGTTGTACGCGCATGTATTCGCGCCATGTATTCATGAATACAGTAACAACAATGCCTTAAAAATAGGTATGTCCAGCTGTCTAAGAGAGAGAAAAAACATAAATAGCGTATCTCATGCCTTATTTCATTCCTCAATGGTAGTAAATAGCATAAAATATTTATTTTGCTATAAAATATAAAAGGTAGCTATAGAAAATAATATTTTAAAATAATTTTAGTTTATAATAAATAGGGTGTATACCTTTGCTATAGGAGGTAAAATTTTCTTTTAAATATTATTTTTTTTGTCTTATTTTATGTGGCATAATTTGAAATGCATGGTATAAAACAAATATTAGATATTTATGTGAATGTAAATTATCTCAATTAAAAAAAAGAGTTAATAGGAGTATTTTTTTTAATATAGAAATGTGGCATTGTTCTTAGTCTTGGGACATATATATAAAACGAAAGTATGTCATATAAATTGGGACGGACAAAGTAATTATTTTGACAAATTGAATGTGTCTGAAAATATTTGACATTTTTGAAAAATAAGACTTGTTTTATTTTTTATTTTTTTCTAAATCTATATTTTTGTCGCTTACTAGTGTTCCAATTAGTGGAATGTTAATTAAAATAGACATTTAAGGAGAGAAAAATGATAGTTAAAAGAAATGCTCTTGTAATTAAAGCTACTCCTATTAAAAGTGCAAAGAATTCTTTAAAAAAATAATATGGACCTAAATTGTTTCTATGTAAAAAAGGAAGAAGTTGGTCCCAAATGAAGGGGGTTGCCAACGTGGGAATCATGAAGTGATGTAAGCACGCGGAGCCACATTGAACTAAGGGGTCAAAAAATTACACTATATTGCTAGATAAGTTTTTATATTTTATGTATATTTATTATACGTTGACTTTCCTTGACTTTTTGATGTAGCTAATTATTTATTTTTTAACATCCCTCGATGAAAATTCTGGCTCCGCCACGGAATGCAAGTATGTTTTAATGAGTTAGTGACTTTGTTATTTCTTAACAAGTAATAACTACAACAACAAATACAAACATTTTCCTTATCTTGGAATTCAAAGAGGCTGTTTCGTATAAACTTTCGGCCACTTTTCATTTTCATAATTTCTTTTTTAAAGCACTTCTATTTCTTCTTCCTATTTTAAATAGGACAACAATTGAGTTCCATTTTTTGTAATTTCTCCATCTCAGGAGTAAGTCAATAAATATTAACAAGAGTAGATGTGTGATCTTTACGTGCAAGCAAAAGGAACAGGTTAGCCTAGTCTAATTTGCAGGATTTACACCAAGTTGCCTACAATACTAATCATATTAATAAGTGCTAGTGCTCTTCCCATTACTTGTTGTACCTTCTTTTATAGCATTAACACACTAGTATTATGCTAGAACAAGCTCCACTCATATGAGTTTTGCAAACAATATCTGGTCCTGAACTCGGATAAAAGAGAAGAGTTACAATTTGCATTAAAATAGTCAAACTATATGAATCTTCTGAATACTATGAAATAAAACTTAATTAATAAACAAAATGGATACAATTGATTGATTGATATTTGCATGTGATTGAGCTAACTCCTAGAAGATTGCTTCTTCTGTTTAAAATTAGTGCTGTGAAATTTTTGATTAAATTTCACCAACATGCATGTAAAAACCGCGATTATATAAGAGGAAGATCATTAATGCCTCTCTTCATTATCTATATGTAGGTTCAGACCTTTTCTTCACATAAATGACAACCTTATGAGTATTCATACGGTAATAATTCCAAGGAACAATCACTCATTTTCTACAGTTATTCGATTCAGTATGTTTGGAAAGTCATCCGGTGAATTGGTGCAGTTACTAGGGTAATAATTACACATGACGACATATTTATTTGTCATAACGTAATTACACAAATATACTGTTTGGTTACACAAGTGTAATTAAACAGTCAGATTAAATTTTAAATGAATTAATTATCAAAACTTAAAAGTTAATATAATAAATATATGCCTAAAAATAATTTTTTATAAGAATAAATGATATTAGATTTGGTATGTAACGACCCGACCGGTCATTTTGACATTTACGCTTATTTCAACTATTTGAAATCTTGAATAATTTTCTACGAGATATTATGACTTGTGTGAATTATTAGTTTTGGTTTTAAGGTATTTCGGAGTTAGTTTGAAAGCTTAAGTTGAAATAGTTGACCGGATATTGACTTATGTGTAAACGACCTCGAAATTTAATTCAAATGATTCCAATAGCTCTGTATGGTGATTTTGGACTTAGGAGTGTGTCCGAAAAATTATTTGGAGGTCCGTAGTGAAATTAGGCTTGAAATGCCGAAAGTTAAAATTTTGGGAAGTTTGACCGAGGGGTTGACTTTTTGATATCGGAGTCAGAATCCGATTCTGAAAATTGAAATACCTCCGTTATGTCATTTATGACTTGTGTGCAAAATTTGAAGTCAATCGGACGTGATTTGATAAGTTCCGGAGTCGTTTGTAGAAATTAGAAATTTCAAAGTTCATTAGGCTTGAATTGGGGTGTAATTTATGGTTTTAGCGTTGTTTTAGGTGAATTAAGGGTTCGACTAAGTCCGTATGATATTTTAGGACTTGTTGGTATATTTGGTTGAGGTCCCGAGGGGCTCGGGTAAGTTTGGGATGGTTAAGGGATCATTTGTGGCCTTGGTGGGATTGTTGATATTTGTTGCTGCATTTTTCGGATTTTCTCTTTCGCGTTCGCGTTCGCGAAGAGGAATTTCAGGCAGGCAGGATTTACTCTTCGTGTTCGCGATGTGGTCTCGCATTCGCGAAGAGGAGCTGGGTTGTGCATCGCGTTCGCGTTTGGGTATCGCATTCACGAAGGGAAAAATAGTGGACATGGGTTTTTGCCTTCGCGTTCGCGAAGGGGAGCTCGCGTTCGTGAAGAAGGGCTCTCTAAAGCATCGCGTTCGCGAGCAGTGTATCGCGTTCGCGAAGAGCAAATGTTGGGTAGCACATTTTGTGCTTCGCGAACGCGAGGGACCTGTCGCGTTCGCGAAAAAGAGAGGCCTGGACAGAAAGTTTAAGTTCAGAAAAGTCCCATTTTCCATTTTTAACGATTCGGAGCTCGGATTGAGGCAATTTTTGGGTGATTTTCAGAGAAAATAATGGGGTAAGTGTTCTTAACTCATTATTGGTTAAGTTACCCGAATCCATGGTTGTTTTTATCATTTAATTGGTGAATTGAGTTGGAAAAGTTTGAAAACCCTCTTGGTTTAAATTGAAGATTTGAGGGTCGAGTTGGNATGTCGGATTTTGGTAAAATTAGTATGGTTAGACTCATGGTGGAATGAGCTTTCGGATTTTGTAAATTTTGTCGGGTTCCGAGACATGGGCCCCACTGGCGATTTTTGAGCTAATTTTCGGATTTTTATGAAAAATCATTATTTTCTTATGGAATTAATTCCAATGAATTTTATTGACTGAAATTAATTATTTGTGACTAGATTCGAGGCATTCGGAGGCCGATTTGAGAGGCAAAGGCATAGCAGAGTAAAGAATTTCACGCTCTGAGGTAAGTAACAATTCTAAACTTAGTTCTGAGGGTATGAATCCCCGAATTTGATATGATATGAATTGTTTGGAGGTGACAAACACGATAGGTGACGAACATGTAGGCGTGTACCACAGAAAGTGTGTCTTGAATAAATCCTGTGAAGAAGAAAAATTAAAGAAACATGTTATTATCTGAACATGTGGTACTTGATAGAGGAATTAAGCTGAGGCTAGTAATAAAGATCATGTTTAGGCTATGTGCCGATATTTTTGGACCCATGGGGTCGTGATGCTGTTGAATTAATTATTCTAAAATATATATTTCACACTCGGTAATAATTGTCCATTGTGAGGATATTTATGGGATTGAGCC